CCATCTACATCCCTATATATCTACCATTCGAGGAAGCTGACAGGAATTTGGTATTTTCCAATGATATCCCATCATCACTTCTCAAAATGATGAGAATATTGCAAGTCAGGTCATAAAGGGCTCCCAATTGCTCTCATGTTGTTATATAGTACAGTAATACTTACAGAAACTGCCTTGTCCCAAAACTTCTTGAAAGATCAAGATTGCCAGTTTGTCAACAACAAAGGGAAGTAACTCCAAATTTTACTCACTAGCTCCTGCTGACAGGACATTTTACTGAGCTTCAATGATTTGCTGCCACTGACAATCACTAGTAAATTTTGTCTCTACTGTCACAAACCATTTCAACACAAAAGCAGTTTGAAAGCTGTGAAAACGTTTTAAATAATCCCAAATTTTATGCATAAAAGCATTTTCATAAGACACAATTAAAAGAACATAAAATATGTAAATGCTTTCTTCATAACATTGTATCAATACACAAAATGACCTCAAGGAAGAACATCTACACGAACAACTGGCTTTACCTTTGATATGCTTGATCTCAGAATTAGACTCTTTTTCAAAGGCAAACTTCTTTTCTGATTTTTGTTCTTCATCTTATGAAAAAGTTTCAGTGGATTATTATCAGTGAACACTTCAGTGGAATACTTTGCTGTTCTTAGATGCATCTCAAAATGTGACATACACAATGGAATTTTGTTTTGTGAAGTAATTTTGCTTGGGCTTACTAAACCTTGAACCTGTGTCTCAGTCACCATTACTTAACCTTGAACTTGTGTCTTAACTCACCATTACTTGAACTTGTGTCTTAACTCACCATTACTTAACCTTGAACTTGTGTCTTAACTCACCATTACTTAACCTTGAACTTGTGTCTTAACTCACCATTACTTGAACTTGTGTCTTAACTCACCATTACTTAACCTTGAACTTGTGTCTTAACTCACCATTACTTAACCTTAAGGGGCAGGGGATAGCCTTGTGGTTAAGGCATTTTCTCATCACACCGAAGACCCAGGTTCTATTCCCCACATGGGTACAATGTGTGAATCCCATTCCTGGTGTGTGAATCCCATTCCTGGTGTTCCGGCTGTGATATTGCTGGAATATTGCTAAAAGCGGCATAAAACCATACTCAGTCACTCACTCAAGTGTCTCAGTCAGGATTACTCAACCCATTTTCACAGAGTGCTAATATTGAGGCTTTTCATTGTAATTGTAAGTGGCAGTTGATAGGTACACGAAATTGAAATGAAAAGTAAATTCACAGTGAATACTTATTTCATGGATTATTTCATTGACACTTCCACCTTTGTGTGTTGCAATCAGCACAGCTGCAAGTGCATCCATATATCTTATACATGATCAATATCAAGTATCTGTTACTTTTGATTACTTGCTCTAGGTTCCCTCAGACACCAACAGCTGGCTGCAGTTGTATCATTGTCCCTTGGTTCTGTGACATTCTGAAGAGTCACACTAAGTTCACTGAACTGTTAAAGGCTGTGAACTTGAACATACTGACAACTGCTGAGTACCAGACCTGCATATTTTGAGTTTTCATCAAAGATGAGATAAACATCTGAAATGAATAAACTGTTAAACTATTGTAACGTGTTATATCTGAGATTACACTTTCTCAGTAAAGTGCAGATTCTAGTACTTTCGTTGCGTGGAGTCCCATGCAGGATTTGGACCTCCACTTTCAGATTCAGGCACCTAATCACCAGCACTGAGTATGGCTGAGTGGGTTAGACTGCTGAGTGTGTGCTGGAGATTAGATGCCAAATTGGCCCAGTTCTAATCCTTAGTTTGAGACACCAAACCCTACTGCTGTCTTGTGACACCATGTGACAGTTTCAGCTGTCAAATGTATTTCTCATTGGAACAACTGTGATACCTACCGTCTGTCTGTCTTTTGTACAGCATAGTATACCTAATAGAGCATCTGGATGAATTCAGCATTACATGTACTTTGATTATGGATAGATTTTGTGAACAAGGTCTATGTGACAATAGATATGAATATTTTCTGTTGCCTTATAGTTAAGAATAACCCCACAAATAGTTACTCACTTTAATACACCTTCATATGTGACCAAGTTTTCATCAAACACATAGTGAGTGAGTTGTAACTATAAATAGCAGTGCTATGTAAAATGTGGTTTAAGCATGTATAAACAGTGGTGAAATCTATGTGAAAAACAACTCAGCAAATGATCTAATTCAGGAAACGGACAGCAGGACTGTACTAAATTTGGATGAGGACAAACTTTATGGATGAACTTCTTTATTCAGGTGATGCAGGTATAACGATTCAAGAATCTGTTTACAAAAGGCCGCATGACCCGAATAAAGAAGTTGTATTCCGGTGATGCAGGTATAATGATACAAGAATCTGTTTACAAAAGGCCGCATGACCCGAATAAAGAAGTTGTATTCAGGTGATGCAGGTATAACGATACAAGAATCTGTTTACAAAAGGCCGCATGACCCGAATAAAGAAGTTGTATTCAGGTGATGCAGGTATAACGATACAAGAATCTGTTTACAAAAGGCTGCATCACCTGAATAAAGAAGTTGTTCATCCATAAAGTTTGTCCTTGTCTGACTCTCCAACTGTTAAAAATACCGCCCAAAGAAGTTATCCGCCGATCTACATGGAGACATAGCAATCCAAACCATGTACTAAATTTGCTATACCTTAATGATATTAGTATTTAAGTTGGTGATTAAGTTCGTATTAAAGTTCCAACTTTCCCTGCCAACTTTATGGCTCATTGCATGATGGCAATTGGCTCATTAGAGACCTAAATTCTATGGTAATTAATGATAAATTAGCGTTGTTGTCCTTGGTAGAAATGAAAATGTGTTTCTCAGACTATCATGAAATTATTGCAAAATATCTGTTTCTTATTTAACATCACGTTCAGCAGTATTCCACACATATGACAATGGTTTGAAAATAATCGAGTCTGGACCAGAAAATCTGGTGATTGACATCATGAGCATCAGACTATGTGATCGAAATATGATTACAAACAAACATGAATCAAGTCAATGAGTCCAACAACCCAATATCATTAGACGTTTCTTTAGACAAACATGGTTCACTGAAGACCTTGACCTTCACAGGTATTCCAGTAGCAATATGTCAGAAATATTGTATTTGTTGCATTAGTTGAAATGAGACTTGTATTGGTCATGCCAAAGGAATATGACCTTTGTTATCTTGAACATGCCCCCAAATGTTATACCATTCCATGGTGTGTATTAGAACTGACCTATTGAATACCTATGAAATACACAATGCCATTTTAGAAAGTGGTCAAATGTAACATATGTTATATTTGGGATTGCACTTTCTTAGTAAAGTACAGATTCTAGTACTTTTTGGGTTGAGTCACCGTGGAAGCCGAGGTGGCTGAGTGGTCTAGGCGTCTGACTTTGTGTGCTGGCGATTAGGTGCCTTACTCTGAGGATGTGGGTTCGAATCCCGTATGTGACTCAACCCAAAATAGTACTAGAATCTGTACTTTACTAAGAAAGTGCAATCCCAAATATAACATATGTTACATATTGAATACCTTCTGAAAGGTGACGCATTCAGTCTATTTATTGCCAGGGAGTGATTAACTGGTCATAAATAATAAAGATTAGGACAGACTATTGATTTTCATTGCCCTTCAATCTTAGACGTGCAACAGGAACCACAAAGATACTTTGAGACTTTATCATGATTGAAATCTGACTTATGGTGTACTTCCTGTTTCACACAATGAAATGTGTGGTCTTGGTCTGACACAACAGAGAAACACCTTATCAAAGAGCAAATATGTTTTACTGCACATACTGTATATTTCAATAGATAGGTGGTTAAGTAGGCATGGTCTGCAGGTGTAGTTTCTTGCATGGTGGAGTTCTCCGTGTGTCTTAGGAATACCAGTCAGCCATTATACATAGAACATCTGTTGAACCACCTGAGCAGGTAGGAATCCAGCCCTATGGAGGCATTGAGCACACCTGAAATAGCAGTCATTGTGTACCGAGCTCCTGATACAACCTTAACTGCTTGGAATTCTTTGATGCCCTGAAACAGCATTACATTGAGTACTTCTGTTGTTACCAAAGTCTTGGGTTGTTTGGGTAGCCTAGTGGTTAAAGCATTGGCTCGTCACGCCGAAGACCCGGGTTCGAATCCCCACATGGGTACAATGTGTGAAGCCCATTTCTGGTGTCCCCCGCCGTGATGTTACTGGAATATTGCTAAAAGCGGCGTAAAACCAAACTCAGTCAGTCAGTCAGTTACCAAAGTCTTGACATTTACCATGTTTGTATTGAAGGTATTGTAGTTTTTCTATGATAGTCATGTTCAAAATCAAGATTGTGTTTTCTAGCTTTGCCCATGAAAAAAGAAGTGGTTTAGTGTGCATTCAGTTATACTGCTACTTTTCAACTAGCTGATACTGTGGCCAATTCACCATTTGCTGCAAGAACTATCAGTTATACCTTAAGTCAAGTGTGATCTTTCAAACTGGGAAACAGCATCTATTTATTAGCCAAGACAGAATCATTGAAATGTATTGTTGTTGAAGAGATGTCTCCAAGATATCCAGTTATGTGTATTCAGTATGTTGATAGCCTAGTAATTAAAACATTCACTTGAGTACAGTGTGTGAAGCCCATTTCTACTGTACCCAGCTGATATTGCAGGAATATTGCCTAAAAAGAACAATCCTCACTAACTTAATTTATGTGAACATAATTGGTGTGTTACAAGAGGAGGGGTTACAGACCCCTGCACCTTCCCTGAGACAACAGGTTAATAATGCTTCAGATGATTAATTTTTTTACTTATATATTGCTCGCTTTATTTGCCATACATCATCACAGTGTACTAACATGTCACCAGCATGTGAAAACACATATCATTCTGAACCTGTAACTGTTTTTTAGAATCCATAAATTATAAGCTATTGAATGCTTTTCATTTTCAGAAATGTGTCATATGCCATGCAAGACCCTGATTTGTGTGTGTGCTGTGCTGCCAGTATGAAGCTGTCAAGGTAGACCAGACTGGACACTGCAGGATGCCTACAGGGTTCCATCTGCCCCAGGCGTGGGCTGGTAAGTCACACTACCACTGATAATTCGGACACATTGTACAGCCTCACAGATATTAGTGAGGGAATTGTTTAAGTTCCTAGTTCCCAACTCAACCTATTTCTTTTTCCTGCATCTAGTCATATGTTGAGAGTCTATATAATGGTATATAAAAGTTTATATCTGCTGTAAAATGAAAAACTTATGCAGAAAAATATAGCACCTTTTATTGCCTTTAACTCGAAAACTGAGAAAAACAATTATTAAATTGATTTACAGATTAAATGGGGCATTAACAAAGAATCAAAGAGTTTGTTGTGGTTGTTTCAAGTGACAATCTGAGTACATTGCAAAAGATTACTGTGAACTCCATGTGCTCCACACGCTCTCCATTTCAATAAATCCTCAAGTTCAGTGAGACTGGTGGCCAATGGACCATGTGTTCCATCTAGACTCCAGTATGATCGTGCCTGTTTTAATGTCTAGTGGTCTATAAAGGGTGTGTTGAGATTGCCCATGATTCCACAGAGATCACTATCAAGGGAGGCAGAGGACTTACTTCCTGGGTTCAGATTTACCGATGTTGGCGCTAGTGGTTTTTCATGTGACTTGGCAGACTGTAAATGTTGCGCAATTACAGTGTTCCAACTCACAGGGGATTTGCTGGCTTTGCTGAGATTTACCGAATGGAATCAAGGCTTGAATTTCACCAAGTAGATGTAACATTGGTATGGAGGCTCATTGTGATGACTGGTGATTTGCTTGATACACTGTGGAGAATTGTGTTTGCTTTATAGTCTCTATCTCAGTTACCACTGTGGGCATTCCGGAGGTGAAAATTACCAACTTCCCCATGCTTGTGTCAAGGGCTTACTTTTGTGAATCAGTAAGTTACATTGATGGTGGCATGGCAACATTGATTGGAGCTCATGTTGTCAACCACTGGCTTGGGTTTGGTTCTGCTGGAATATTGCTGACAGTACCAGAAGACAACAGTTACCCCTGCACTTGCTGTCTCCTGTGACTCATTTGAATTTGGATAAAAGTTGCTCTGGCAGATTTGTTTGTGACAATGAAAATCCTTGCTTTGTTTGAAATATGAAGTTTTTTTGTCAGTTCAGTTTGTGTGTTTTTTCCTCTTTATTGTACATTCTTCCATATTCAGTTTTTGAATTGTGTCTAAAATGTCCAAATTGACTTGATTGCCTTAAATTGACCTGAGCGAGTTTAGATAAATAACTTTATTTGTACATGAAAGATGTACCGGGTATTGCTGCATGGAAACCATTTTCAATATGTCTGTGGAATCTAATTTTGATCAATCAGTAGCAACAATCCAAAAGAGCATAGTTGTGTCTTTAATCATTGTTGTTTTAACTTCTTTATTACAACTCCCTGTTGTAATAAACCAGAAGTTTACAAAGCAGTTATCTACAACAGTACAAGGGAAGTTTACAACCTTTAGACAGGAAAATCTGAATAATCTTTATTTGAATCTGAAATATAGTACAAATTTTGATACGGTTGTTTTCCTACATACAGCAAGTCTATATTACGTAATAAATGACTCAATTACTGTTATGTAAAGGTTGTGGATATCACGAATAGACTGATTTCTAGCATTGTAATCATGTGAGGACCTGAACCCTAGTATTTGTCTAGGCAAGCTGACACGTCAACCATATGACCACCCAATGTTTGAACAAAAAAATAATTAGGCCAGACCAATTTTATTTCTAAGGGCAGGAGGGAAAAAAAATCAAAATCAAAATCACCAGTCAAAGTAATATTCCTTTTAAATACTAGAAGTATTTTACTTTTGGTAATTTATGAAGTGTATATGGGGCAAAAAACAATCTAAAAACATTTTCTTGCACATTTACATTTTTGGCCAATAATAATATTAAAATTTTATTTTTTGAGCGGAGAAAATTATTATTATTTTTTTTCTTATTCTTGAAAAAAATATGACAGGCGGATACGTAAAACAAGAAATAAAATTAGTCTGGCCTTAGATTCATTTAATGTTCAATATTGAAATTGATATGAATATTTTTTTTAATCCTGATAACACTAGTTATGTATTCGAAAACATGCAACAAATAACTTCAATCATCACTTGACATTTCCCTGGACCCACATTTCTACCCTAGTTTCTTGGCCTCCACATCAAGGCGGGGAGCTCAGCTGGTACAGCAGCCCAGACTATATCTTGGTTTGATCATCGAGACAGCAACCCATTAACCTCCACTCAATGCTTGAGTTGATCATAGCTCACTTAGATATCCTCAAGTGATACGATACTGACATGAACACTACATTGACTTGTAGGGCAGACATTTTTTAAAATGCTTCTGTAAGAAATTTGTTTGGTTGGTTCCGTAGACAACAGATATTACATCCAAATTAGTAAGCTGATACAAAGGGCAACTAATCATATCATACCCGAGACTAAATAATCATATATGTAAACTAATTAAAAATCAATGTATTTCATGTCTTGCGATATTGGCGCCATTCCTTCCCTTCTGCCATGTTGTAGCTAGCTAGTAAATTAGGCCTGATATTTTGTTTTTTTACATGCCCTAATTTTTTCAAAAGTATTTTTGTTCAAAGAACTGTCGTTTAAAAATAGTCAGTTGCGAAACATGTTTTTAATTAATATATGTTTACATTTATTTCTAGAATTCTTGAGAACAACCTCAAATAGATGTTTGTGAAAATCTGTACAACATGATAACATGCCATTAATTTTGCTGTCCTTAAATAACTGCTGTACAAACTGATACGAAATGTGTGGCAAAGTGTTTTCATCATGTAATGGCAGCATTTTTATTTTCTGTGTTTCTCATCGCCCGACCGATCCTTCTCATTTGGTGGCTATGTGAAACACATAAAAAAAAATAATGCCCTAAGTAAGAATCCTTGGCAGATTGTGTGCTACAATTAAGGTATTTAGGAAATCTGTCTTGTGATTGAACAAGTCCAGTTATTCTGCAGTACCAGTACTAGGGGTCATTGGATTCCATTGCTGTGGTGTTTACATGCCATGAGTTGTTGATCGGCCAGTGTGAACGTATTGACCTGGGGAAGTATACTTATTGTCCGGTGTTGTCCACTTCTAATACTGGATGGGATGTGGGCTAGCCTTTTGGTTGAAGTACTAGTATTTGCTCGCTACGCTGAAGACCCGGGTTCGATTCCCCACATGGGTACAATGTGTGATGCCCATTTCTGGTGTCCCCCGCCGTGATATTGCTGGGATATTGCGAAAAGCGCTATAAAACTAGCCTCACTCACTCACTCTAATACTGGAGGACATTAGTCAGTAGTACTGATGTTCTTTGAAGGGTCGTCATATGAGCGAAATATTCTCAAGCACGACGTTAAACCCAATTTTACCTCACCTCTTTGAAGTTTTTTTTGAAGCAGTCCGCAATGAAAAGCTTAAGTTTGTATTGACCACAATGCATCGTAATGATATGGACTGTATTTTCTTGTATTGTAAAATGAACAACTAAGATTACATGGCATTGGAATATTTAGGAATGACAAGTCTTTATGGATGATCAACTTCTTTATTGTACAATAGCAACGTTTCGGTATAAATACTTATACTGTTTTCAAGCATATGGAATATTGCTGAGTGCAGCATAAAACTCACTCACTCACTCACTCACTCACTCACTCACTCACTCACTCACTCACTCACTCACTCACTCACTCACTCCTCACTCACTCACTCACTCACTCACTCACTCACTCACTCACTCACTCACTCACTCACTCACTCACTCACTCACTCACTCACTCACTCACTCACTCACTCACTCACTCACTCACTCACTCACTCACTCACTCACTCACTCACTCACTCACTCACTCACTCAGTTGACTTTATTCTTAAAACTATTAACTTCATAATTATACCCACTGAATCAGTAGTGCCACTTCTGGCATTTCCTAGATATTCTCACAAAATCTGCTGTTAATGTCGTATAATCCCTGACCATACAAAGGTCTCAATGTCATCTTGTCCTCGTTCTGGAGTCCACAAACCTGAAATATATTTTAAGAGAATTGATTCGAATAATACTCAATATTTACAGTGCAATCAATCTTCACCAGAATGACATTGCCAATGTATCGAAGTGCAAGCGTTTGTGTGAAGAATCAATAGAAGTGATCGCAGTCAGTTATTGACAGTTACCATGATCGTTGGCTATTTATTGGGATGTTTATAACAGATATCGCCATGACTTAATTAGCAAGGGTGATAATTGAGATGGTTGATATTTCCATCAATATCTACCATTCTTTCGTGCCCATACATAAGTTCTGATCTTTCCTGGAGAGGTTTATGATGACCCTAATTACAGAAAATTAGGAGGTCGTGATAGAGCTAAGAGGATTAGCACTGTGCTCACTGTTCCCTCTTATTTACAGCCGGGAATGGATACACTGACTCAGGTATGAATGTTCAGAACAATTTTTCTCCATTGGAGTGAGTGAGTGAGTTTGATTTTACGGCGCTTTTAGCAATATTCCAGCAATATCACAGCGGGGGGACACCAGAAATGGGCTTCACATATTTTACCCATGTGGGGAATCGAACCCGGGCCTTCGGCGTGACGAGCGAACGCTTTACACACAAGGCTACCCCACCGCCCCTTCTCCATTGGAAAACAGATTTGAGTGTGTGCTGCAGTTTGATAATTTGGAAAACATTTAAGAGGGAAAAAGTCTGAATTGCTTTTGCATTTCACTGCATATGAATATATCTTGATATTTGTTTGTTTTGTTTGTTTGTTTGTTTGTTTTGTTTGTTGTTTAACACTGCATTCAGCAATTCCCCAGCTATAAATATTTCTCAGAGTTTATGCATGTTTGTAACATATGCAATTTCACTATGCTGTGTATTTTACAATGTCAGAAAGTATTATGTGGTTTTAAGGTGAGGGGAGGTGAAATTGGGTTTTACGTCATACTTGAGAATATTTCGCTCATATGACGACGTGCATGCG